ATAAAATACACTGTTACTGCATGTACATGTATACATGTACCATGTACCTCTTGATGAGATGACAGGTGAACCAGTCCATTCCAGAGGTGGTGGTCGCTATGCAAAAGCTTGCCCCAATCATGAAGTAGAGCAAGTGTCTTTAATCTGCGGAACTCCAATCGTTCAATGCTTATGTGCAATCAGATATTAAACTCAGTCTACCAGATTTTATTCACAATCATCTTGCAAAAAACCTACTCAATGCAATGGAACAACCCAAATACTCCAACGTACAGCGTGCATATCAAGGGTGTCGATGTTGATGTCATATGCTGTCAGGTTCAGACTGTCAAACACCTGCTGAGAAAAAAAACACCCGAGATGTTACCCAGAGTAAAAAACTCAGGTCAAAGTTTAAAGTATGCCCCCCAAAAAACACTCCCAGCTTTTTGAACCCTCGGACCCGCAAGAGAGTTTGGCAGCAAGCTACTGGACAATTTCTTCACAGACTCTTCTCACGTTTACAAATGTTTGATGACCATGTTGTATGGGTGGCCACAGTTTTCAGAAATTTAAACCACTAGTATTCAACAACTTTCAGTGTTTGAATCCATCACAAGTCCTTTCATGAGTCCAGTAACAAGTTCCTCCACAAGGCCAGTCGTAAGTAACAGGGTGAACAATGACAAAAGAATGTTGATACCACAGCTCACTTGAACAGCTTGTGAATTGGTTGAAATCTGAATGACTTGTGATGGACTTACAGGGACTTGCAGGGACTTTCAGGGACTTGTGATGAACTTACAGGGACTTGTGATGGACTTACAGAGATTTTCAGGGACTTGTGATGGACTTACAGGGACTTGTGATGGATTTGCAGGGACTTGTGGTGGACTTACAGGGACTTGCAGGGACTTATGGTGGACTTACAGGGACTTGCAGGGAATGGTGATGGATTCAAATACCACAGACAACTTTTGCCGCAAGCATCCCTTGATTTTGCACTTACCAGAAAAGACACAAGCGCAGTGGATTAACTATGGTTAGGCCAGGCCGTATGAACCAGGATTTTGAGCGCCTGTTATCAGCTTCAGTATTCTCCCTGAGGGTTTTTGTTTAGTGCCAGGATGACCAATGTAAAAAGTTTCATGCAAATACTTTGACCAAAGTCTGACATGCACTCAATTTTTCCGACCTGCTTGAGTGTCATCGTGGAGCCGTCCTTGTTCTTGCAGACAACTCTGTCAGCTTCTGTCTTGATTTTCTTCTTGATGAATCGCAGCAGGTGTTTCTGGTTCGCTGATCCAGATACATGGATGTGAGTATCCACCTACTGAGACAATCACAAAGAGGTAGAACCTGACTAAACTGGTGGCATGTATCCAGATAATGAAAAACCTGACTGAGGTGGGACTTGAACCTATGACCTCCTGAACATGTGTTCTTGTTCCATAGCTGCGGGGACGTACACGTACGCTCAATATTTCACTTACACGTATTTTGTGGGGACCGACTATGTAATGAGGACACGGAAATGTCCCCACAACTCAGTCCAAGTTTGCCTAAAAAAGCCATTGTCCCCTTAACACGGTAAATGCATACCCATTGTTACCAGTGCTCTACCAGCCGAGCTACCTAGCAATATGTTGGTGACTGGATCTTCTGATTTGATGATGCAATTCATCAGGGATTAAAGCCAGAAATCTATGAATACCTTAGCACTCCAGTCTTCAGACATGGATCATTCCCGATAAGTTGCAAATGGGAGTCAGGATGGCGTAGAGGTTCTTTCCTAGCCTTTCACCTCTGCAGTCCGGGTTCGATTCCCGGCTTGATCAACACGTGGATTGGGTTTTCAGTCCCTATCTGATTTCGTGGGGTTATACCCAGAATATTCCTCACGGGCTTTTCTCCTACTTCTAAAACTGTAACTGCTTCTCATAGTCTCCTCTCAACAGTTTTCTTCAAGCTAGCGAGCTGCAATGCCTAGGGTGCTTTTGAGGAATCTTTGGTGTCGTTACCGGAAAGAAATAATAATAATAAACTGAGGAAGTGGCGAACAGGGGTGACTCGAGGAGGACATGTCAGTTTAAACCAGGATTACCGAACTGGAAGAATTCCGAACCACTTGAACAGGTGCATGGCAAGAGAAGGAACACAAAATGACACTTTTTCAGGCACAATACACATATCTCGGACCCTGCATTACTTTACACCGTGGCGTAACAGTAATCACCAATACTGCATGCACATTTACCTTTCTGATGTTGTAAAAATCTCGATGAGGCACAGATTTCTGGGCAGCCAGCTCCTTCCTCCCGTTCAGCAGACAGTGCAGGCGGAATCTGGATGCCAGGTAAGACAGCCTTCGTTGGGAAAATGACTTTCTGGTAAAACAAAGATAATAATGGTAACTGTTAGCGTTCTAAAGGACTTCCGCCTAGTCAGATGTAAGGAAATGACTGGACACTTGGTCATGTTGACAGCTTGTGTCTCCGGGTGCAAATTTAGTCATTTTAGCTCTCTTTGGCTGGACATGATCAATACATGTTAGCCAACAGGTGTGCGGCTATTGTTTTCAATGTACACATGTGACACATTATCATAACACTAAATTCTTTTGTTGGATCAAATTGTGAATTACAAACGTACATGTGCTTAAGAGTGTGATTTGCATGCAAACCAAGTTTCACAAAGATTGTGTCATGGGTTGCAGATCAAAGCAAAAACCCTCCCTCTGGATGCCAACTAAATCCAAAAAGCAAGGCCTTTAAAGCATCAAAGATTTGAACATCTACACTGTAAAAATGCCCTGACTTCCGTCAACTACATGTGGCCACGAGCACTATTATCTTTGCTGGAATTTGCGACTAACGAGGTCAATACATGTACACTGTACATACAAAACGGCACTGTGGTATACATGATCGCTACAAATCCAGTGTTGGGGCGAATGGAAAATTTACAAATATACTCGTAATGAGTGTGTTTACACTTAATCAGGCTTGGAAAAAGGAAACAGAATCCACACCCTCCAGCTTTTCCTCCCCTTGGCTGTGAAATCATCTGAAAAAAGTCCAGGTCTTCTACACTGGCAGGTTTCAATACTTGCATGCAAAACTTCCCCAGAAATTTGATCGTTGGCCATAGGCATCATCAGAGACTGACGAGCATAATGCAGGAGAGACAACATGCAAGAGGCACAAACGAATGGCAATGACACAAGATTCAAATGACCTGGAAACTCACATGGAAACTCAAAATGCTCATTAAATGCTTGCCAAGTGTAATGAAGATTGTCATGCGAAAGCTCAGTGGAATCTCAGTGGAAAGTCTGGCTCTTTCAGGGTTAAAAATTTCAATGTGTCAATGTCAAACATCCTCACATTGGTCTGTTGACCATGAGCGTCATCAACACGTTGGAATCGGCAAGAAACGTCATCTTGTCCACGCAGGGCAGGTCGATGGGCTTGTCCCTCGCCACATCCTCTTCGTTTTCATAGACAAGGATGATGCCATCCTTCATCTTGAACTCACACTGTATGGGCTCCGGCAGCTCACAGGCAAAAGGGTCTCCCTTCTTGGTGGGCAGGTGGATGGGATGGTCTTATAGGGGGAGAAGCCAAATACACGAACCATTAATTACGAAGTTTCGCTAAATGTCCATGCACCTGATGTGGGTACTTATACTGAATTCCGAGCAGGTCAAAATTATGAACATGTTGTCATCATTGTGCGAAACTGCCTTACGGTATCTCAATTCCACCATGCATTGAGACAAAGATATTTAAAGGGTGGTGACTCAGTTCAACTAAGCATTTAACATACAAACCAACAGGCTTCAAGACATGAATTAACGAAACCTGCACTGCAATATGGTCTGACCATCTTATGCAAACATGTATGTATACATTTCAAAGGTAACTAAGCATTTTACATACGAACCAATGGGCTTCAAGACAGAAATTGCCGCTATATGGATCTTGAGTAATCCTGACCACATGCAAACATATTTCAAAGGTACATTGTAAATAACGCTGTACACTGTAGGTGTACATGTACATGTACCGGTATGTGAACCGGATCAAAGTTTACAAATGGACGCACACGTACATGTAATTTTCAATGATAACTTTGTTATTGTTGACACTGCAAAAGTAGTATACATGTACATACACATGGAACCATCTGAAAAGTTAGATGAAAATACATTTGTATAAGTGACACAGCGTGCCCAGCATTATACATGCATATATTAGAAGTACATGTGCAGTTATATGCATATACTGGATTCATTTACATTGAACCACTCCCTGCCGGGCGACTCGTTTTCGGGAACATAGGCTTTATATGCAGAGCCGGGAGCCCGGAAATGGGACAAAAGAGTTGGGTCTTATAAAAAAGACCGTGCTCAGCACAAAAGACTGAGCTGCTGGCCATTACCGACATTTTTTCGCTCTCAATAGTGGAGAAAATCCAGCCTTGTTTTGAAACAGTATACCACGGTTTGAGGCATTTAGAGAGAGTAGATTACCACCGGGGACAAAAGCTCTCCACCACCGCAGCAATGAGCCACACAGCACCGCTGCACGCTAATCTGGCCCCTATTGAAAAGAGGTCAGCAGTGCGCTGTGCCAGTTTCGGGAACAAAAGAATCTTACGTAACACCGCACAATCAGGGCTCTTTTTCCAAGACTGCAGGCCTGGCTGAAATATTCAGGAGTCAATGAAGGTTACTTGTCAGCTTTAGAATAGTGCCCAAAAAGTCCTTCATGTAGGTATAAACGGCCATTAAATGAAATGCTGAATTTTTGAAGAACTTTGAAAACGGAAAATCTTGAAAATGAGCCGGCATCTTGTCTTGCTCAAGAACAATCCACCCGGCAGCAAGTGGTTAAAACATGTTTTACAGAGTTCAAACGTGCTGAAATGAAATTTTTGACCATGGGGAAAACACTACAAAGTGCATGAATGCTTCTGGATTACTTCAATATCCGTGGCACGAGGACAGGAAACAGAATGTCAATTTTCCTTCCTGTCATTCCGGGCACACAAAATCTACAAACTACATGTACAGTACTGTACAGCCATTCTTGGAGAACTAGCTATTTACATGTACATGTAATAAACAGTGTTTTCATGATTGCACGTAGACGAACATGGGTCTCCTGAAATGGAGAATTACGATTTTGGTCAGTATTAAGGGGGCTGACGAGGAACACAGGACAATTCCCTCCCTTCCAAGTTCTGAAATAATGAGAGACATACTACATGTATTGTTTCTTTACTTCCCGTCTTTCCAAATGCGTATAAAAAGTTCCAAAATGTACTCGCAATGTTCTTTCCACTGTCAGAGCAGCAAAAGGTACATGTACAGGAAAAACAGTACCAATTTGGACTCCCTCCCAAGAAAAAGAGGTTCTGGATCGAGCTACAGTAGTAAGCAAATAGGCAAGTAACTTTAAGAAGGAAGCGATCAATCAGTGTTGTATTCGAGTCACTAACAAGCCCCTGCACAAGGCCAGTCATACTTAATTAATGCTTTTGTCACAATTCACTTGAATAGTTTGTCATGTTTGTGAACTGGCTCAAGATCTAATGACTTGTGATGGACATGACCACTTCGCGCTGGGCCCATACATCCAATTTGATTCTGCTGGGCTGGGTGAGTTTTCTTTTTTTTTGTTTTTTACAAAATTATTTAAAAATTCATAAATTCATTTACATTCATTTACGTTTACACCCACACAAATGACTCTCTGGTGGTTACTCTAATCTGACAGACAACATCTACTGACGCCTGAGTATTTCAGCTAGGTTTGCCGCCTTGTAAAAAGAGTCCAGATTGTGCAGAGTTGTGTAATTTTCTTTTACACAGTGCGCTGCTAACGTCTTTTCAATAGGAGCCAGATTAGCGTGCAGCGGTATTGTATCGCTCATCACTGGAGCGCTTTTGTCCCCGGTTGTGATCCGCTTGCACTGAATGCCACAAACAGCGGTTTAATCTTTCAAAACAAGGACGGATTTCCTCCGCTATTGACAGTTGACTGAAAAAAAGTTGGCAATTCCCAGCAGCTCAGTCTTTTGTTCCAAGTACAGTCTTTTGTTATAAGGCCCAGCTCTTTTGTCCTTGACATCCTTGTAAATAATACAATGTAATGTAATGTACTAGGACTGCAAGAAAAGTGACCAGCAATAAAACAAGATGTCCGTGTACCTTCTGCATTGTACACTGGGCTGATGAAGTCGCCGTTGTCCATGGGCTTGCCGTCAATCTGACGCAAGNAACGAGGCCGCCTTGCGGGGAAAGGACTGTAGGGCCAACTTCATGTACTTCTCCCGGACCATCAAGGCGTCGATGAGGGATCTGGAAGCATCATGGAGGTCCTGGGGTGGCACCTTTAGGGAGAACAAGAAGGCAAAAAAGGGCGAAATACATGTATTAAAAGTGTACCACTTTGGTGGCATCATTTGAGGTTAATTTTCTTCTTTTTGTTCATTCTGATGGAGCTTTAATGTTTTTGCTTACAAATCAAATTGAGAAGCTGAGTTGATGTTACCTCCAATTTGTTTAACATTCACTAATTACAAACAATTACCCGACTTTAATGGCGTGCCTTTGTGCAGCCAATAAAAATATTTTGGACGCCTTCCCTTGCAAGTACATAAACTCACCCCACTTTTATCATCCCCACTGATGGACACCCGTTGGTATTCTACCTCCAGTGCTGCTGCGGAGTAATTGGAGCCGGTAACCTCATTCACCATTGAGCTGGCGTCACTGTCTTGGGGAAGCGGCCATGTGTCATGGTCTAAGACCCCAATCCTTGTTCTTTGGACATAAACACAGAAATAGGTGTAAGGGTTAATTCATGAGGACTACCCCAAACAACAAATTGGCGAATGCAGTCTGGTTCCTTGACCTGAATGGAGATTTGTTTTGACGACAATGGACGAGCAACAAAATAGCGTGATTCGACACACAGGACAGAGCAGTTGTTTTTTGCCAAACTCGGGTTATCATTTGTGGTTTTCTTGCTCAATACTGTATATTGTCAAAAATTACAATGTACCTAAACAAGGCCTATCAGGCTTGAGTAATGTTTGTTAGTTTGAGAAAGAGGGGTTCATTACCATTAGCACCCTGTTCCAGTAATAAGGAAACAAAGTCCACTTTCTCAGACAAACTCACATTTTGACCCTAAGGAACCATTACTCAATCTTGATAGGCCTAGTTTGTAGGTAAATTTTGACAATATTTAAGCATGGAGGACGGACACAGAAGGACTTAGAACTGCCCGAGCTGTAACATCAGGCCAATTACCGCTTTCTGGCATGCCCGGTATGTTCATAGCCAGAGTGCAGCACACGCCTGCTACTCACCACCTGTTAAAATTGCAACCATAAGCCCCCTTTGTACCCCATGATCATTGCCACAATTTTTCGTTCGTAATCTGCATCCCTAAAACGTTGTGTACTGCAGTTTAGGAAGTTGAATATTCATGCCATCGTCTTGGTGCTTGATATGATCTGACAACAAAGTCAAATTTAATGCTTGCGCGGTTGTTTTTATTAGGCTGTGTACCCGAAGTGTTCATGCGCAGTTGTTGCCCTTATCGAACGCTTTCTTCTGGATTTCCTTTGGGAATAAATAGCCAAGCTGTTTGTAAGATTTTGAGTTTTGTTTGAATCATTTTTATTACGGAATTTACACAAAAAGGTATTTGTGAGATCTCATGATCAATCCCTGTGATGAAACAGGGCATTTTGTTTTTCGTGAACTTAACTGTCCTGTGGTGTTTGACAAGTTGTTGGCCAGTCTTAGCCAAACCCATACAAAGACTTTGAAAACGGATCTTTTGAAGTGTCCAAAAAAAATTACAAACATACATGTATGCATGGATAACGGAAAAGGGCATCAAAATCCTTAACAATTATTCAAAAAGTGGCAAAAGTAAATCTAATGTTACATATTTTTTCTGCCTGTTTCCTGGTTACTGCGATAAGTTGTAGTTAATTCCAAAAAATACACCTCAAATATTGTAACGATATTACTGGCCCCACTGGAGCAACAGTCAACGGGTGGATGCGAGAAATTGGTGAGCAAAAATCTCAATTTTTTCACAAATACTCTGTCTCATGCTCTGAAACTTTGTTTGCCTGCTTTTTAAGAGGTGTAGATTAAACAGATTTACTGACAGGGGAAAATTTGGTTTAATAGCTTTTTAGGGCCGCAAACCTTGTTCACCACAAAAATTCGATTCTAAAACCCCACAGCATTACGACGCCATGTAAACCTTCACACCTCGAAGGCACACAGAGTATCACGGAGTTAGTGCCTTCGAGTTCTCGAAGTACTAAAAACCTAACACCAGATAAGCAAAGGACACGTTAAAAAAAGAGTGACAGACAGAGCTCGAACCTCATGTTATAATTTTACTGATTTAAGAAAGTTATTTAAACTCGAAATGACAGTCAGTACGAGCTGCAAAACTAACCATGCTATCATGATGATGCAGTCTGACAGTAATTATGCACCTGTCAATTGTAATCCCGTCCCCGGGGGACCCGGGACTAGCGGGGAAGATAAAACAGGGCCAGCGTGATAGTCCCGGCCATGTCGCCATAATTTGCCCGGCCAGGGCGGGGCACCCTTTTTTGTATTCCCCTGCTGATCCCCAGCCCCAACATGCTGGGCATCATTGTGGTAACGCCCCGTGCAATCCTGGGCCTGGCGTGCCGGGCGTTGTGACCAATCCCCGCACCGTCCCTGCCCCAGCATGCGGGTTGTGATGCAACAACCGTACAACTAAAAATAAATAACTAATAACTTTCATTAATTTCTTAAAGTCCCCTACTCTTCTGGGTCACTGCTAAGATGACGAGTCGGTTGCAGTAAGTGCAGGTAAAATGACACCGAAATAAAGCAAGGGGCAGCTGCTAAATAATTATACCAAACTTTGGTGAAACATTCGTCCGCATATCTGAAGCACCGGAATCAGGGGGTCAACGACCCAAATCGCTACAATCTTTCTTTGCGGACGTCTCAGAAATAATTATGGAAATTCATCCAATAGTAAAATTTGTTACGCGCTGTGTGGAGACCAATTGAAACGCTCGTTATGTACATGTGGCCATGGCCAGTGCCAGCCCATGAGACAATTATCATTATCACAACACTTCATTCATTCATTGGAGATTGATCTAGATAACCAATTATTTGAAATGTATCGCCAAAAGACACGTGACCAGTGCTACTTGGTTGAAAGATTAAATCACCACATGTTCTAATCATTTAGCAGTCCATAGAAAGTGGCAGCAATGTTTGTAAAAAAAGAGAGGACATGTATTTTGCACGCACTGATCCCAAAATGAGGCGTCATCTTTGTCAGGTTTTCGTCTGTCAGGATACAGGAAACACTTTGTATTTCATATCGAAGCTCAGTGCTAAATTTTACCAAATTGTACAAACCCCAGCCAAGTCCCTGCTATCGTACCAGGTCAGTGGGGCACCCATGTGTACAACCCCGGGCAAGCTCCAGATCATCCCGGTCGGTGGGGCACCTTCTTTTCTGGACATCCCCAGGTACATGTACGTCCTCGCTACATTTTCGAAAGTCCTGGGTCCCCCAGGGCCAGGATTACAATTGACAGGTGCATTATTGCTAAACTGGAATCTGACATGATCATGATGATTGAAGTGTTAGTCATGTTAGTGGCTAGCCCCTAGTGTGGCACGGACTCTCACTCCTGATCCATCCTTAGTGATAGTCCGTGCCACACTAGTGGGGCTAGCTAGTGGCATGGCATGCTGTTACTGACACTGGTACGGCCTAAACTGCTTTAAAAATTCCAAACGCCTTCAAATGACCGAGCCCGAGTTTTTCTTAGACAGCTTCACTCACCCCATGTCTTCATTTGGTCCCTAATTTATCATTTCAGCCTACGGCAATTTGTTCCTGTCTGAGAACTTTTCGTAAACTTCTGTCTTTCTGTTCGTCTCCATCCACCATGTCCACACGTCCATTCGTTTACTGCATGTGCATGGATTAGTGCGCCACCAAGAGTTTGCAAACACGTACAGTATGTTATTGCAATCATTGGGCTGTCCTATAGCACGTCCGATAATTTTTGGAAGAATAAATCCTTACTGAAACCAACCCATGAAACGCTCTTGTGTCTTCCTCAACTAATATTTAGGAAAAACACCTTGGGATGGGTAAAAAACAAAAAAGAATTTCACCAATGACCTTCACGTCTGGCGATATCGTACCAAGGTCTCCTTGTTCATGCACGTTTGTTTTCACTCCCTTGCTTACGTGAAAACGAGAGTGTAAAACGTTACAAAGGTTTAAATGTACCTGCCTGTAGTGTGTGATCGATTCCATATTCTGGTGATTTGACATAACGCAGTTGTTGTCAGCAAAGATTAAATAAACTATTAGAATCTTTCGTAAAAGTAGATAATTGCTTTAAGTTTATTACCTTATAAACTAAATTAACAGTCTGCGAAACATTTTACTGAAAGACATTACATAGTATTTTAAAACAAAAGTCATGGATTATTTGTGTAATTTATATTTTCAGAAGTGATGGGTCAATTTTTGGCAGGATATTTCTTTTTTAGGTCAGGTAATTTTTCAGTTTCTATGAATCAATAACTAGCAAATATGTTCCAAAGCTTTTTTTCCAAGATGATTTTTTAAGAACTGAACAATACTATTACAAATTCTAAAATGTTTGCATTTTTTTCTTTTCCTATTCAAGGATTCTGGAAGTGCGCCATCAGGGGTCAACTTTCGGATCATTTTAGTGCATGACCTGTTCACCATGCACGGGGTTATCACTTCCTGTTAGTGAAGCGTTATTTAGATTTTTTGGTTTGCCAATGGCAATGTTTAAATTAAGCATGCATATAGGCTGGGCCTATATGGAAAACTCACGGACTTGATACAATCTTCTCGCCAAGTATCACTGATCACATATCTTTTGGCATTATATTTCATACCAATGGTCATATATCTTTATCAATTTTGGATGATGAACGAATAAAGTGTATCTAAAGTCCATGTCCATAAGTGTCATTTGCAAGTCGGCTAGGCCAACCAACAAAAAACTACAAGTGCTTTTAAGTTCCTCATTCTGAATGTCTATAACACCCTAAAATCAATTTTCCTTCCAACAAGCAAAACAAAAACCATCAAAACACAAACATATCTTGCTTTGAGCTGTATTCACTTTAATAATCTTCAATCTCTCATTCTCGAGGAAACGTGCAGATACATGTAGACACATACAAACAGTTCAGTATATTGCATATAAAGACTGTCGATGTCATTTAACTAAAACACTTTCAAGTTCTTTATCCGCCGTAGTTCTCCGGTCTCCAAGTACATAATTTTATTTGGAACATGAATGTCAAGAATTGTTGTGTAAGAACCTTGGCTTTTTGAAAGATACAAGCATAAATTGTATGGCGCATAAGTGACGTTTATTCAATCAAAGAAAGTGGTACCTTTTGATTATTTCAATATACATGTCTCTCAAAATGGATATTAAGATATCAGTGAATCGTTTTTGAGATATCTTGGAAGATATCTCAAATTCATTCGGAGGTATGTTGAAATCCATTTGAGGATACCTCAAATAAGTTTCGAGATATCTTGAAATGGATGTACAGATACCTGAAAACTGTTCAGATATTTGACGAAAGTGTTACAGATTGTACATTTCTTCCTTTACACTTCACCTGTTTTTTTTATTATTTAACTCTTTCTTTAGACTTTTGTGGTATTTTAAGTCTAAACTGTTCTGCAGCAGACCCTATTATGTAACTTCCTTCGTACCCTATGTATTGTGTTTTGTACCCACTATTCTTTTGTTAAGATAATGCCCAGTGGGCTGACCGGTTATTTAACGGCCCATTCATTAATTTCTGGGTGCACATGTATTTAAGAAGTGGGTTGTACCGGTACCGTCTTTGGGTGCACTCATCACACCTCAGCCACCAGTTCAGCCAGGGGCTCTGCTCTTTTTCCAACTGATGGGTGTCGCCAACGTTGATCACTCCAGCCGATGTCTAATTGGCCCTCCGGCTCCACACTGCCTGCAGAGACAGCGAGTCACCGCTATACTCTTCTCCTTGACTTCAAGTTGACGGCTTGCCACACGCATTGCATGTAGAGACAGTGAGTCTCCTCTGTTCTCTTCTCCCTCAAGTTGATGGCCCAAACCATTCAGTTTTGAGGCTCTACCTAGATGGCCTTGGACCAGACCGGTTCTGAGGCTCACCCCGGCTAGGCTGGATCAGACCAATCCGGTGCACCGGCCAGTGCTTCAGCCAGCTGCAGCTGAGTTGCCCCTCCCAGCGAGAACACCAACAGTCAACTTGATGACAACACACACACCCAATCAAGTCGGGTACCCTCGATAGCAACCAATAATTAATTATTTAATTTTATAACAAATAGTAACATGGATTTAAATTGCTTTTAACTATTATTATTTTTGGTATGTAAACTGAATAAATTTAAGTAAATATAACTGCTGGTTTCCTTTTCTCTGCTGATCAATTCATCTCTGTCACGCCCTACTTCATTTTGGTTCCTTTGAATTCATCGCATGTAACAAAAAGGATTGACGATATCTTGGGATCAAATTACAGATATCTAGATATCCATTTCGAGATATCTGGATATCCATTTCGAGATATCTGGATATCCATTTCGAGATATCTGGATATCCATTTCGAGATACATGTATCTGGATATCCATTTTGAGATATCTCTAAATCATTTTCAAGATATCTTGAAATGAGTCAGTTCAGTGCTACACCAGGTCATTCAGGAACAAAGCGGGATTGGCCACAAAGTATGACAGCTCTTGGGTAAATATTGAGCACTCATATTTGTTATTCCCGGATGACCCTCGGAAGCACTTCGTTTTGTTCATGCACCAAACATCTGTTTATGATTTGGAGATATCTCAAATTGATTTAAAGATATTTTGAAAACTATTTCAAGATATCTTGAAATCAATGTAAAGATATCTAGAAGACAACTTAAAGGTATCTTGAAAACGATTTAAAGACATCTTAATATGCATTTAAAGATATCTTGAATATGACTTCAAATATCTTGAAACTGAATTTAAGATTTCTTCGAATCAGTGAAAAGACATCTCAAAAGCCTTAATCAAAGGCTTCAAGTGTCAGGATTTTTTCAAAATATCTTGAAATAATTAGAGATATCTTTAAATAAACGAATCAAAAGAGACCACTTTAACTTGAATAAATGTCACTTGTGCGTGCCAAATTGAAAAGTAAACAAATTTATAGAACTCGTACATGTGCACATGAATATGATGAATAAATTTTTATAGAGGGAGGTTAATACTATACATGTATATGAAAAGTCACAGTACACATTACGAATTGATAGGAAAGCACCCGGTTGATTAAAGGCCGAGTGTAGGATCTGCAAGATCTCAAAATAGGACCGGCGAATTATCTTGAAATATCTTATTGTAATTAAACTAAAGTGCATACTTAAGCATGTCAGTAAATCTGTGACGTTACCGCCAGAAATGCTGTCATTTTTGAGAAAAGCTCCGGATGGAAAAGATGTGGAATGATACACAAGGTAAATCACAAACCACCGAATTGTTCAATTTTGACAAATTCCAGTACGTGTCAAACCCGTACACGACCTTTACATCTTCAGTCGCTGAGAACTTTTCTTTTCGGAAACGTAACGACATCCCTAGCAAAAACGGATACGGTGAACAGCTATGAGGGCTACTCCTGCCACAGCCATGCATTATTTTGGACCACACCTGCGCAAGCGTTCAGAAGAGACAAACATTTGTGCAGATTTTAATGAAATTTGGACACATGCCCAAATTACATGTATATGCATGTAAAACCCAAATTTGAATCCCTATGTAGACCCACTAAAAATGGAGGCGGCTTCGGTGGACAGGCACTGGTCAATGCATGGCTTTCCAATATAAAACTGCTTTTGGCTCAATGCACTGGGATGTTCACTGTATCAGTAAATTGTCCTTTTTCTTAATAATACAAAAGAACTTACTCATGACGCTGAAATGCATTAAGCAATGGGTAGTCCTCTGTTATCTACAACACCGTACATGTAAACGGGCATTTTGAATGACTACATGTAACTTCACGATCTTCACAGCAAGGCTCAATTTGGAATACATGTACACCTTAAGGAAATATACCCTCCAGATTGAACTCGGTCGATTATTTGGACAAAGAAATTATTGTAAACAAAGTCTTTCATTTTATAAATAAAATCTATAAACTATACATTACACAATTTTATGGTTGATTTACATGTACAGCAATGGAATAAATTAATTCATTTATTCACAGACTACACACAAAGTGTGTTTTAAAGGTTGATCAACATTTAAAACTCGTTCTTTTCACAGCATTATGTACGATTCATTTTACAGTTTGAATCATTCAGGCACGCAAATCAGTGTTTGAATTTTGTGTTGTACAAGTACATGTGCAGTGCAAGTTTTTTTCCCACTTTTCTCAATCAATTGTTGTATACACAGCACATGTTGTGCATGTAACTAAGATGAAGCTGCAGGAACCATGACAAAGTACCCAGGCAGTGTTGACTTGCCTGTTAGTAGTGGATGTGAGGTAAATCATGCCTTGTTTTATGTGGTGGAGGCAGAATGAGGGCCGTTTATTGCCTAATGCATCTTCATGAGTAAGTTCATGTGACATCAGCTAAGATGACGTCACCATGACACAATGAATGGGCATTGCACATGCACGTTTTATAGGTCGTACCATTCTCAGATTGGGTGGGGTTTTTAAAGTGTTTGGGAGGTTCTTAACGGCAAACAAGATTTTTTAATCACGGTAAAGAGGACAGGCGGTTGATATTTTTCAGAGAAGGTGTGAATAAAGTTTAATATGATATGGAACAATTACATTGTTGGTATTTTACGCCTTCTTTTATTCAACCCCTGGGGAATAATCATATAACTGGTGCGTTCTTATGAAAAAAAAGATGCAACTGGGACTGTTACTTCATCATGTGCTTTGGTTTTGAACTGTGCAGTCCTCTCCGACTAGTCTGGTGACAAACTCAGAGATGGAAATTTGTTGTAGTGAGTGGGATTTCTTTGTCCAGATCCACCATCCTCTGAGTTGGAGGAGACGGATCGCCTGGAACCTGAATAGCAAAATTGGCCAACAAACGCACATTGAAGACCTTGGCAAGGAAAACAATGAGTTGTGCAATCAAAAGGGGGCACTTGAGGGTGAACTTGAAGCTAAGATTGATCAGATTGATCAGGCTGAGGAAAATGGTCCAAACCACTTCATCAAAATTGGGGAAAAGTATGAAGATGACAGTGCAAATGCCAAAGAAACTAGAAAACTGGTCAAGCAAATCAATAGTGAAATCAAGGAAATGACTCAAAATCAGAAACTTCAGGGGATAATTAACAAAGATATTAAGGGTGTCACTGGGCCTTTCATGACCAAATTTGACCAGGTCTTAGAGGAAATGAATATTGGAAAGCAGTCATATCATGGGGGTCCTTAATTGGCCTTAAACAAGGCTGATTGCCGGGGAGAAAGGCATAAACTTGACTGCTTCACAATGGAGCATGCTGGTGTCACACGTCAAAGCCATTATCGAAGCTGTGCGCAGGAAGAGACTGGTCAAGAGACTCTTAAACAAACTAACTCTTTAGTTTAAGAAGTTTTGTGCTTAGTTTAATGGTTGGTTTTATTGTGTGGTTTTTTTGCATGTAGGCGTGGAGGCCGATTGCGAACAGCGAGTTAAAACCCTGTTAGAAAAGATTCTTATAAAATGTGTTGTGAACAAAATTGAAGAGCTGTCTTCAAAAGATCGTGTACCATGTAAGGAGTGCGAAGTTGACTCTCCGAGCCAGTGGGACTACAAATGCGTCTGGATCACCACAGACCATGTTCTGGAGGAGTTTGCCTCCGATTACAATGTCACGGCGGTTCAACTCGTGCTTCCACATGCGGTAATTGAACTTTTCGATGCTGCCACGGGGAAACTAGGGAAAGAAAAATTTATGTGTCATGATTTGAGCACGAAGGTTCGGTTGTTTATGGAAGATATGANTTTTTTGATGGCCAATCCAAAGATCGTTTTAAAATTGTACGCACAGAAGGATCAGCACTTGGACTTCACCATTGCCCAAGAGTAGTGCCTGCTGCCTGTTTGACTTGTAAACTGTAAAACCACTGACTGGAACGTTTTTGCAAATGTGTGAAAACCATCAATTTGAGTCAGCCAATGGATGTGCATGAAAGTATTTTGTTCGTAATTGGTGTATTAGTTTAGAATTTTTGTTAAGTTTAAAAAAACAGTTGTCAAGAAGTTTCAAAACACAGTGTAATATGATTTCTGGCAGGAATGGCGCGCGATTGGTGTTTATAAAATTGGGGATTTGTAATAATCATTTTATATGGAAGTTGACACGCATGTAACGTTGGTGCGTGCCTAAAATTTACGCTTTGAACTTGTATTTCGATTTTAAAAATGCCTAGTTGACACAAAGTTGAAATAGAACAGTAGGTTTTAAATTTGTACAATCAAAAAAAAGGGAGAAAAACAATTAAAGACAAGCAGAGACTTAGAAAACTCAAACGGTCAAGTATTTCATTACTTCACGGAATCAGCATGGAGTTCCCAAAAGCCCTAAACAAAGGCCAACGTCTCCTTGATTCCGGTCAATGGACGGCTAAGAACATGATCCATTGTCTCTATTTTTCCATGTTGGACGATATAGACAATTTCGCTGACGCCGACGTCATCATTGCGAATAGCAAGACTTTCAATATGCTGGCTCTTCGCCACTACAAGAAGGATCAGACGCTCGCGCTATTCACGTCGTATCGTCTGTGGCAGCGAGCTTGGTGTGGTCGCTACTGGAAATGGTGCGGCAACCACCACCAGCTGCAGGGCCGTACCACGAGCCTAAAGATGTTGTGGGCGAATGCAGTCGAGGCGGCCATAACTCGCAGCCGGTTCCAGACCACCAAAAAGATCTGCTGGCGACTGACAGAAACCCTGACAAGAATGCTTCCGATACCCGTGGAACTGCAGTGCGACATGGTACACAGGCGCGGGTTCATCGACATGGAGTGCACAACTTGACAGCCCTTGTCCACAATGTCTACTCTGACCTTGAAGGAGCTGGACGGAAAGGCTGTCCTGAAGGAGCTTCTGTCAGCCGTCAAGAAGCTGACGGAGCGGACAACGGAGGACTGGATGTCATTCCCCTTCTTCGTCTTCTCCTTGGACATCCCTGTTTTTGTTTGAAGACTTTCATTCTGTCGNTGTTTCTGATGGCCAATCCAAAGATCGTTTTAAAATTGTACGCACAGAAGGATCAGCACTTGGACTTCACCATTGCCCAAGAGCAGTGCCTGCTGCCTGTTTGACTTGTAAACTGTAAAACCACTGACTGGAACCTTTTTGCAAATGTGTGAAAACCATCAATTTGAGTCAGCCAATGGATGTGCATGAAAATCTGTTAAAGTATTTTGTTCGTAATTGGAGTGTGTATTAGTTTAGAATTTTTGTTCAGTTTAGAAAAACAGTTGTCAGAAGTTTCAAAACACGGTGTAATATGATTTCTGGCAGGAATGGTGCACTATTGGTGTTTATAAAATTGGGGATTTGTAATAATCATTTTATATGGACGTTTACACGCATGTAATGTTGGTGCGTGCCTAAAATTATCGCTTTGGACTTGTATTTCGATTTTAAAAAATGCTTGTAGTTGACACAAAGTTGAAATAGAACAGTTGTGAAGTTCGGTATTAGGTTTTAAATTTGTACGATCAAAAAAAAAGGGAGAAAGACAACTAAAGACAAGCTGAGACTTAGAAAACTGAAACGGTCAAGTATTTCATTACTTCAAGGAATCAGCATGGAGTTCCAAAAAGCCCTAAACGAAGGCCAACGTCTCCTTGATTCCGGTCAATGGACGGCTAAGAACATGATAGATTGTCTCTATTTTTCCATGTTGGACGATATAGACAATTTCGCTGACGCCGACGTCATCATTGCGAATAGCAAGATTTTCAATATGCTGGCTCTTCGCCACTACGAGAAGGGTCAGTCGGTCGCGCTATTCACGCCGTATCGTCTGTGGCAGCGAGCTCGGTGCGGTCGCTACTGGAAATGGTGTGGCAACCACCACCAGCTGCAGGGCCGCACCACGAACCTACATGTAAAGATGCTGTCGGCGAATGCAGTCGAGGCGGCCGTAACTCGCAGCTGGTTCCAGACCACCAAAAAGATCTGCTGGCGACTGACAGAAACCCTGGCAAGAATGCTTCCGATACCCGTGGAACTGCAGTGCTACATGGTACACAGGCGCGGGTTCATTGACATGGAGTGCACAGCCCGACAGCCCTTGTCCACAATGTCTACTCTGACCTTGAGGGAGATGGCGGGAAGGGCTGTCCTGACCCGCTCTGTAAAATGAGTCAGATGTGGAAATGACTGTTTACACGTACTGGGCAATTGAATGTTGTGGGGTGATTTTTTTTTTTGAAATTCATTTTTGTGTGTGTGTATTTTGCTTCTTATGTACCTATACTTTCAGACAAAACCAAAAGGAAACACTGATTTTGACTCCTGAAGTATTTTATGAAGGATTTTGTTGACCCTTTTGTTTCAAGTTACACTGTAGTTCTTTTGTTCGTTGAGTTAACTTTACAAATTTTCGTCCCTCCTGTAATTGTCTTTCCGATCCATCACCCCCGAGTTGCAAGTTTGGTATTAACCGAAAGCTGAAACCCAAGCTCACAAGCAGTAGGCAAATCCATTTTACTTATGTTAAGATTTTTATTTAATTCAGTATGTCTTAAAAAAGAGAAGAGCCTTTCTGCCCAAACAACTGGCAAGTGGAAGTAAAGCTGCTCGTTCGTCACTTTCAAGAAGAAAGTGGACTGTGTTCAGGTTACAGGAGCTGAGGCCCTGGTTGTTGTGAAAGTGAAGAGAAAAAACACAATGAGCAAAACTTTTCATGGTAGTTTGAAGGCTCTCTACAAAAAAATGGAGAGACTCAGAGAGAATATCAGCAGTGATGATGAGTGCAATTGGTGCTGGTGCCATTTTCATATAATGTGCCAAATAAACTACACAAAAAGTTCACTACCTTCATTTGTCACCACTGATCAAGACAACATTGCATTTGCAAACACAGTGCATGACATACAACATCAACATCATCTACATTTCATCCACTCCAAAAGAAAAAACTGGTAAAGAAAAGAAAACGTCTTCCTTCATCTTCCTGTGTACCCATTTCGGTCCATTCATCCAATACGGCGCCAAGTCAACCTTCCATAGACACCTCAGCAAGGAAGGCCAAGGAAAGCTCATCAGAAAGACATGGCAAAAACTCGCTCAAGAGACCTGAAACTGTTTCCGCATCATTAAATGAAAACATGCTTGCTTTATCAAGGGGAAGCAGAGTTGCCATTGCTTATCAAAAAATCTTTTTAGGTCACATTAAATAGTACCAGTACGTCTGGTAACATACGGAATAATTCGTGCATGAGAAACATGGCAAGTTTGTTTGGCCAATGAAGGATGAGATTGAAGATGTCTCTCCAATTTATACTTTTAAAAATAATGTTGAAATGCTCATGGATAAGAGCAGAGTGCTAGTAACCTACCGGTGGTAGATGTAAGGAAAGGGTACTCCCTGACACACGGTGCTATTTTGTGTGGCACGTCCAGGTAATTTCGGGAAACGGTTGAGTTAAGGAATCATGTGGAGTGAATGTTTCCTGTCTTCAGCATGTTCAATGGTACCGGTATTTTAACATTAACTATCCCTGAAGAAGAGCAAAGTATATCTGGCCATTTCTGATATCCTGCACGTATCTCAGCATGTACAGTACTTTACATATACGAGTCACCAAACTTACATGTATACCAGTGTGTGTACATGTACATGTATGTAGTGATGTACGTACATTCCCAAATATATGTACATGTGACTTTTGAATCAACGGAGTGCGATCTTCAATTTTTTTTTTCCATGAGTCTTTTATGTACAAGGTGCAAAATTATGTATCCAATTACCAAGTACATGTACATGTGTCAATAAAGATTGCTTTTTTGTATCAACCGATATAGCTGCAGATGGGCTCTCTATGACACTTGAGGTTACCATAAAGTGAGAATATTGCATACTCGCGATATTGTACTTGTGGAAAGTTCTCAAAAGCGAAGAAAAATCATTCTCCTTTTGCAAGATTCTTAAATGTTACTTTTTAACAATTTTTTTCTCTCAACTGTAGGTTTGTTGCTCAATACCCAAGTTCAGTAAGGAATATTCCGGTAGTCTTCACTGATTTGAAGATACCACACGACAGCGCAGTGTGTAGCATGACATAAATTGCCTGTTGCATACTTTCAATTTACAATTTCACTTTACTAAAAATGGAAGAGCAGTCGGATGAAAGATCTTCCTTGTGTGATTTATCTGGCATGGCCAAGTGTTGTGGTGTTTTTTGCAGATGGACAGTATGTGTGTTAAGCGTTCTTGTACAGTATGTGGGGTTAGCGTTTTTGTACGGTATGTGTGGGCAGCTTTTTTGTACGGTATGTGTGAGCAGTGTTTTTGTACAGTATGTGTGGTTAGCGTTTTTGTACAGTATGTGTGGTTAGCGTTTTTGTACGGTATGTGTGGGCAGCTTTTTTTTACGGTATGTGTGGTCAGCGTTTTTGTACAGTATGTGTGGTTAGCGTTTTTGTACATGTATGTGTGGTTAGCGTTTTTGTACGGTATGTGTGGTTAGCGTTTTTGTACAGTATGTGTGGTTAGCGTTTTTGTACAGTATGTGTGGTTAGCGTTTTTGTACGGTATGTGTGGGCAGCTTTTTTGTACGGTATGTGTGGGCAGTGTTTTTGTACAGTATGTGTGGTTAGCGTTTTTGTACGGTATGTGTGGTTAGCGTTTTTGTACGGTATGTGTGGTTAGCGTTTTTGTACAGNGGTCGCTACTGGAAATGGTGTGGCAACCACCACCAGCTGCAGGGCCGCACCACGAACCTACATGTAAAGATGCTGTCGGCGAATGCAGTCGAGGCGGCCGTAACTCGCAGCTGGTTCCAGACCACCAAAAAGATCTGCTGGCGACTGACAGAAACCCTGGCAAGAATGCTTCCGATACCCCTGGAACTGCAGTGCTACATGGTACACAGGCACGGGTTCATCGACATGGAGTGCACAGCCCGACAGCCCTTGTCCACAATGTCTACTCTGACCTTGAAGGAGCTGGACGGAAAGGCTGTCCTGAAGGAGCTTCTGTCATCCGTCAAGAAGCCGACGGAGCGGACGACGTAGGACTGGATGTCATTCCCCTTCTTCGTCTTCTCCTTGGACATCCCCGTTTGCTTGAAGACTTTCATTCTGTCATTGGAATGAGAGCTTTGGATTTTCTGGGCCTCTCCACAAGACCCCTATCCGGGATCACAAATGTGACAGGCAAAAAACCTGTCAAGAACTCAAAAAAACTAGTTAAAAAAATGCTTGTAGTTGACACAAAGTTGAAATAGAACAGTTGTGAAATTCGGTATTAGGTTTTGAATTTGTACGATCAAAAAAAAGAAAGGGAGAAAGACAAAGACAAGCAGAGACTTATAAAACTGAAACGGTCAAGTATTTCATTACTTCACGGAATCAGCATGGAGTTCCAAAAAGCCCTAAACAATATCACAAGTTATGAATTATTATATGTTCCTTGTTATTCTGTACGGGATTATTTACTCAAATTTGGAACTGTAAATCATTATATTGTCATGTTATTATGATTTTTGTATTCAAAATTAGCCACAATTAAATTGAACATTACCAGGGTCAGTCGGTCGCGCTATTCACGCCGTACCATCTGTGGCAGCGAGCTCGGTGCAGTCGCTACTGGAAATGGTGCGGCAACCACCACCAGCTGCAGGGCTGCACCACGACCCTAAAGATGTTGTCGGCGAATGTAGTCAAGGCAGCCGTAACTCGCAGCCGGTTCCAGACCACCAAAAAGATCTGCTGGCGACTGACAGAAACCCTGGCAAGAATGATTCCGATACCCGTGGAACTGCAGTGCTACATGGTACACAGGTGCGGGTTTATCGACATGGAGTGCACAGCCCGACAGCCCTTGTACACAATGTCTACTCTGACCTTGAAGGAGCTGGCGGGAAGGGCTGTCCTGAAGGAGCTTCTGTCAGCCATCAAGAAGCTGACGGAGCGGACGACAGAGGACTGGATGTCATTCCCCTTCTTCGTCTTCTCCTTGGACATCCCTGTTTTTGTTTGAAGACTTTCATTCTGTCA